TCATTCCTATCTTCTAGGCCTCAGTGAGCATTCAGCTACTTTAGCAGATAGTACTAAATGTTGCGTAAGAATTAAAGGTAGAGGTTAACTTTATTCTGTCAGAGGCATAGGAAAACCGATCTAGACGGTCAAGCGAAGGAAGTACACTTCGCGCGGCATGGAACTGTCAAGCCGCGTGTTGGTTTCGCAGCGCTTGCTTTCGAGACACATTCTGGGGCGTCGTTTTTTTCAGTAAAGTAAGGGTTTTATTTCTTCGACTACTTTCTAAGTTGGACATCAGCGTGGTGGTGGACAGCGACTTGTGGGAATCATCTTGCAATTTGCTCAGAATCGAATTCGCTGCAATGTGTATGGTGAAGGGAAAACAGACAGGACGATTTGGATGAATTGACCCTTAGTACAGCCGGTCTATTTGGTTTATGGATTGTGCAATGCACACACGCGTGGTTCCTAGACCGAAAAATGTAGTTTTTAAATCGGTCGGACGCCACCGATGGCGATGCCCTCAGGCCTTGGAGGGGAGATGAGGGTTTGCACATGTACAAGGGCTGCAAGCCGCGTGGTACTGCAGGACATTTCATTGAGTCTACCTTAACCATGAAACTAGAAACAGTGGAATCCTGCGGACTGTTGAATATGTTTGATTTAAGACGTTATTTTCATTTTTTGGGTGTTACAATGGATGGCCTGTTGTCTCCTGAGTGGTACATGTGCTAACATGCACTGCGACAGTTTGCGAGTATGCTGGGGATTGATACTCAGTGATTAACCTTCACCGACCCCTAACGGAACTCACTTGTCCCGCTTTGCATTGGGTCTCATTTCTCGGGCTCTGACGAAAGGCGTAGTGACTACTAGTCTTAGGCAGATAGGCAGTGCCAATATCTCCCGACCTAAACCGGCAAGAAAACGAGTTCTTGACTCAATGGTTAGGGCGTTAGACTATGACTGAACAGGTCACAAGTCCGAACCTCGATTGGTGCCCCGCTTAGGGTTGGGTATGACTGGCTAGCGGCAGCTAATAAATCCGAAATGGCCATTCCATTCCCCCTTGTTTTCACGGCAATACTATCGGCCTGTGTTGGGATTATTAGTATATATGTCCAGCGTTTAACTTGGGCCTACTTTATTGCTAATTTCATTGTGGGTATGCATGGCACTTTTGACACTGACAAGATAACTAAAAGTTGACTTACGCGTGCATGCATAGCTCGAGCAATTATTTCGTCCTTTTGCACACCTAGGCCACGTTCAAGACAGCAGGCGTAGACAAAGCAGGCAACAGACATTCCTCGTCGGGGAAAAATTTGTAGGTGTGGTTTACGCATAATCTTAGCTTTGAGATTTGAGTCCATAGCCAGCCTAAAAATGAAGATAATGAGACTTTTTTGGTTCTGAGTTCTCGATAAATTTTACGGGTAGAAATTTGAAATGTAGATGAGGGTCGTAACCCTTTGGAATATGTCTTTCC